GTTAAGATTCTAACATCACAGAGGGACATCTCGCCACACAAGATTCACAGCCCTGAGCCTGCTCCTATTAGGCCCCCTACTCCAGTCCTTGCTCACACAGAACAGGTGAAGGGAAAAGTTGGTTGTCACCCACTTTTTTCCCCATAAACCTATGGGTTAGAACACTTCCAGGCCTCAGGAGGCTCATTCAAGTCTCTCCTCTGTCTATTGAGGCTGAACTCTCTCTCTCTGTCCTCCCAGGAAAGTCTCCTGTCCACCAGGCAAAGGGATTATCTGGGGTGGGACCCATCAGTCTCAAGATGAAGCCATTTGTGAATTACTGAAATCTCCATTGGCCCGGGCTGAGGAGAGAGTAAGGCTTTCTCTCTGTCTTAATGGTTACAACACTTACTTATATAGGGGAGACCTAGCTTCCAGCCCATACTCCTGTGGATATTTAAGTGTTTTGTAATAAGTTCAATAGCTCCAACAGGACAGATGGATATAGCCACATCCCATCCACTAATAAGTGGCAGGGAGGACTCTGCTGTGCGAGGTGGATTTACATCCCCGTTAGATAGTAGATGGTTTGAAATTTGGATATCCCGTGGTGGGGGGAGTACATGCTCAAGTCCAGGAGCTACTGAGTAAAAGAAGGCAGCCCCTCCTTTGGCAGCTGTTTTGTGTGGGGTCCAATTCAGTAGAAGTGTTCTGAGGATATCTCCCTACCACTCAAGCTTTCAGGGCAGGGAAGTTTCTAGTGATGGATCCTTGCAGGTGGTGGTGGTGGTAGTAGTGATTATGAAGCAAGTGTCGCCACACTCATATGGCAGAGGCATAAGGACCAGAAAGCCAGCAATAGGTAGAATGGTCAATGTCAATAAGACCTTGGGCACCTGAAGAAGGGCCATGAGGACATTCATAGATGGTGTGGTAGGCTGTTTGAGTTTGAGCACCACAGCTGCAACCAATGTCATTGGAGAGGCCCCTAGAATGCAAGCTTGCTTTAAACTGTCCAGTGCCTATTCTGAGACAGTTAAGAGCAATCCAGGCCCTGAGGGGCAGCTGCCAGCCGGAGGAGCAGAAGCTGGTATGGGAGTGAAGTTCTTTAGCTGTAGTTCTTGTGCAGCCTTTTTTCTGCTCCACTGATGGGAGGTCCATGCTGTGGGTGACATGCCAACTGCAAATTCGATGAGCTAATTGGCCTAAATGAAGAACGGATTCCAAGACTTCAGACAATAGTTGTTTTTTTCTGGCTTGAGACTACTAAGCCAGAGTGCAGAGAATGGTTCAGATTTTGAGCTTTGAGGCCTAGGGCCAGGGTGGCAGCTTGTCTCTGGATGTCAGGGGATGGAATGCCTGAGAGGACTGGTAAGCAGTCAAATGGAGTTGGCATAAGGCATCCAGTGATGTTACTCATGACGCTGTTAAGGCTAGAGTCCACTAGCTTATGTGTGTGCTTCGGCCCCTTACTGATGCACAGTACTGAATATACACAAGTGCCAAAGTGAGGTGTATAATATTTGGAGACTTGCACCCCAGGTGGTGCTAGCAAGGTGATGAATAAGAGTTCCTCTGCTATTGACCAGGTCACAAAATCCTTAGACGCAGGGGTAGCAGTGGACGTAGTCTTTCTGGATTTCAGGAAGGCCTTCGACACTGTCTCTCACCCCATTCTCATTAAAAAATTAGGGGACTGTGGCCTTGACACCTACACAGTCAAATGGGTCGCTAACTGGGTGGAGGGTCGCACCCAGAGAGTGGTGGTGGATGGTTCATTTTTGACCTGGAGGGATGTGGGCAGTGGGGTCCCCCAGGGCTCGGTCCTTGGACCTGCGCTGTTCAACGTGTTCATCAGTGACTTGGACAAGGGGGTAAAAAGCACCCTATTCAAATTTGCTGACGACACTAAGATGTGGGGGGATGCTGACATGCTAGAAGGGAGGAATAGGCTGCAATTGGAACTAGACAGGCTACAGGGGTCGGCAGATGAGGACAGGATGGGTTTCAACACTGACAAGTGCAAGGTGCTGCATCTGGGGAGGAAGAACCAGCAGGAGACCTACAGGCTGGGGAACTCCCTTCTTGTCAGTGCAGAGGCAGAAAATTCATAGATGTTAGGGTCGGAAGGGACCTCAGTAGATCATTGAGTCCGACCCCCTGCATAGGCAGGAAAAAGGGGT